ATCGTTATTCCATCAATGCCAAATTTAGATTTTGATCTAGTGCATATCCATTATTAACTTTAGTGAATTTCATTTACATTAGACCCATTAGGCATTAAAGTGACAGAACCGGGTTTATTTTTTATACGTTAATTCGGATTCAACCGAATGTACCATATAAGTATAATAGAAACAGTTTCAAACATTATTCAAGTGTTTGCGCCTAAATTGTAAATTGTAACTCAAAATATATTAAAACTAAATTTCCGCTGTAATGCAATAAATGTACACGAAATGCGTAATTTTGCTTTGCGTACATTTTATTGATACCAGGACATCACGTGATTCCAGTAAAGGTTCCCGTATCATAAGATAATCTTTGTTTATAATAAAGGTACGAATAATATTGAATTTCCGAGAAGAAAACAATTCGTGATCTTTTATCGCTAAAAATTAACAAGTGTAGTAAGACGAACTTCTAGTGTAAGTGGCGTAGGGTTTCCAAAAGATATCGTAAATGAGAAAAAATAATAGTCACAAAAGTTACCAAATTGCTGTACCACGTTTTTCATAAATGAAATGCATTTACATACACGTATAATAAATGCCATATGGTTCCAATCAATAAACTAATAATTGGTTCAATTAAAGACGTGCATATATGCATACTAATAATTTACACATATCTTTATATATAATGTTTACATATTATTTTTTGATATTAGAGCCTTTCCTGTTGCTTGATTAGCGGAGGGAAAGAGAATAAATAACACTTGGTGCATAAATTTAGGCAGACTTTTATCATTCTTTACGTATCCTGCTCATTTCCTAATACACATCTTACCATTCCCCTCTTTTCATCTTTTTTTTTCAAAGTGTCAGATGCAGCGCATTTATTAATAGACACTAAAAAAAAAAATTTACAATCTCTGCCAAATTAAATTTGTAATTTTTTAGAAAGACAAGATGCTTTCAGTTAACGACGACGCAGAAGTACATCAAAAACGTGAGTATATATTTTTAATCTTTCGTTAAATAAATAAGTTTGTTTTTATTTAAAAGCTTTTGATCAATAAACATTCGTGCGATAATGATACAGAAGCTACGATTAATAACAATAAAGCTTACGCGTTTTCTTATCCCACTAATGTCAATGATATAGGTGATGCGAAAAAAAACAGTAATAAAAAATCTGCCAAGCCTTTTAAATCATCAAAAAAATCAAAAAAAGCAAATTCAAAAAAAGGAAATTCAAAAAAAAAAGGAAATTCAAATAAAGCAAATTCAAAAAATAAATCTAACCTTGAGCCTGACCTAGTGAATGATACACCTACTACTACAGACTCAGTTGATAGTGCAGATTCATTTACTACAGACTCAGTTGCTGATGCAGATTCAATTCCTACTACTACAGACTCAGTTGCTGATGCAGATTCAATTCCTACTACTACAGACTTAGTTGCTGATGCAGATTCAATTCCTACTACTACAGACTCAGTTGGTGCAGATTCAATTCCTACTACTACAGATTTAGTTACTACTACGGATTTAGTTACTACTACTACAGACTCAGTTGCTGCTGCAGATTCAATTCCTACTACTACAGATTTAGTTACTACTACTACTACTACTACAGATTTAGTTGCTAATCCTACAGATTTTGTTGCAGATTTTGTTGCTACTACAAGTTTATTCACTACTACTAAAGCTACTAACGCTACTAACGCACAGTACCTTTTCCCTGAGAAAACCCCAACAAAAGAGGCTAATGCAAAATTTGGTAACCAAGATGCGTCAACTAATGTCGATCAACATAACGACAATTTTGCCCCTGGAACTGTTGCTGGCATCGTAGGAGCTGCTCTGCTTGCCTTTGGATTGGTCGGATTGTTTATCCATCGTAAAGTGAATGCAGGCAAAAAAAAGGATATAGAAAAAGATATAATGTCCAATCCGAATGATGCTTTTGACAATAATAATAAGCCACCTGGTTCTTCTCAATTCATGGAGGCAAACAACGATGAAAATATAAAAGAAACTAGTTATGACGTATATTCAAATGACGTATATTCAAATGAAATGAATATTCCAAGTATAGAACCACTTAGTCCACTACAATTATCCCCTAACAACGTTGGTTCTCAACTCCTAAATGAAGACCCTACTTTACCCATTATTCCTCCACTCGTATTTGCAAATAATACCAATAATCATCCTCAGAATCGAAACGCATCCGAACAAAGTTCTCCACAACCTCCTGTCGTTTCTTCAAGGCAATCATTTTATGGTGAATCGTTGTATTCATCAATTTATACCACCATGACTCCATCTCTTTCCTCTCAAGATCCATCGCAATCTAAAGGCTCTTTTGTGGATTTGTCACGTTCAACAGCTTATCCTGTTCCATTTGTTGCTGTTTCTACTACTTCTGATATAAATAATTATGACAATATTAAAGAAACTGACAGATATTCAATCGATAGTGCTAATTTAAATGATGTAGATAATTACATATTGGAACCTGAACACATAAGGCCGGATTCATCTCTTCTAACTGACTTGATGAATAGTCCTCTCGATGAAAAAGCCGGTCATCAAATCACAAATAACTCAGCATATGAGGAGTCAACAAATGATAAATTTACTTACTTACCTACAAATTCAAATGATATGGTTTCCGAAATATCATTATCAAATCCTGTTGTACCAACTACTTTAAGTTCTAATATTAAAGATCAACCTTTTAGTGAAAATACCAACAATATTCATCAAGATTCAGAAAATAAAAGTAAATTAAATAATGCTTACACAAATCAGAACATACAGATGGATTATGTCCAACCCAATCAAGGAACGATTCATATCGAAACGTTAGATCTCAATATTACTGACAGTACTGTGGCACCAGCTAAAGAATCATTGGACATACAGATGGACTATATCCAACCTAATCAAGGAACGATTCATATTGAAACGTTAGATCTCAATATTACTGACAGTACTGTGGCACCAGATAAAGAATCATTGGACATTCAGTCAGATATATCGAACGTAACAAATAATGTTTCTATCGGTTCCGCGTTATCAAATATAGAAGATGACTTTAATGACGTTTCATCGCCAGAAACACCTGTCGAAAAACCAAAAAGAGCTTCTATACAAATAATGAAAACCGAAATTGTACCTGTTCAGTCTAATATGCAAATTGAGAAAATCCAAGATATTGTTCAAAAAAATTCAGAAAACACGAATGATCCTTCATCTGACACTGATTCTCCTTCGCAAACATCCGAAGCAGATGACCCTCTAATGATGACTCCAGCCACAACTGTTTTTGTCAAACCTATCCAATCGAAAATGAAAGTTGAAACCGTGAATAATGAATCTCAATTAACATTAAATAAACCTTTCATATCGACTCCGTCTGCTTATATTGCCGAACGTGCATCTGCATTTACACAATCTACTCCGACAACTACATATAAAAAGTCATCCAGTAATGAAACTACAGGGAAACCTAAAAAGGGCGTATTAAAGAATAAAGGTGGTTCGTCTGCGCAGGTTGATGACGGTCTGAACAAAGTAGAATCAGATAATGGGGCAAAAGAGATGAAACCACTTGTCCAAAAGAAGCCTGCTCATAGGGATTCAGATCAAGAACCTAAATCGATCTTAAAAAACAAAAAAGCTCAGGTAAGTAGAAATTTTCTTTAACAAATTCAATTTTGGAAGCATTAACTTGTTAACTAAATCATAATTTCTTCAAAAGAAAACGCCACAGGATATTAAAATAGCTAATGATCTTATGCCACCGCTTAATACTGTGGAAAAATCAGAGACTCAATATCGAAGTCCAACTTTCAGCATGTATAAAATGTATGATGATTTACCTGGAGGTCGAAACAGCACAATGCAACCCAATGTGCCCGAACTGCCATCAAGTAGACCGGACAACACTAATTCAAATGAAAATGATAGTTAAATAAATTTTTTATCAAATGGCACTTAAGAGCAATATCGAAATATTTCTGATGATTCTTTCTTACACATATGTTCACTAATTTTAATATTTGTTTTTTATTACTCCAATTTAATGTGTATTTTAGTTATTTTAGTTTTTATTTATCTTTTTTTATTCGGTGGTCAATCTATTTATTGGTTTATTGTATAAGGTTTATTGTATAAGATTTATTTGGTAACTAAAAGTTCTTTCTTTTTTTCCTTTTTTTTTTTTTTTTTTTTTTTATATATACAATATATATTATTATTCATAGTACATTCTGCACAAGTATAAACTATAGATTATTTAATACAGATACTTAGAGCTTTAATACAGATAGAGCTAATTAATTGATCTTGTAATTTCTTTTATCAATAATATATATTACTGGAACATTTTGTATTAATAAAACAGTTCTTAAATCTTTTGTTCTCTTGCTTATTTATATATATATATATGGGGTTAAGTCAACAGAAATCAAGCAAATTTTTTTTAATTAAAACTTTAAACAACAAAAATTTAATCAAATTTAATAAAAATTTTTTTAAATAAAATTTACAAACTTATAAAATTTATTTAAAAAAATTTTTATTAAAATTGATAAAATTTTTGTTAAGTTATTGGTATTTAAAGTTTTTAAAAAATTTTTAATAAAATAATTTGCTTGATTTCTACTGATTCACCCATAAATATATATATAAATAATTTTTTGAAAATTTTATGTATTTAGTTATATTTCGCGATCAACCTTTTCAAAACGAACCTCAGAACCTCGGAATCTCTTTTCTCTAAACATACTCCTTCTATAATACAGAGTTAAAAAAGATTTTAAACAAACATCTTTTGTAGCAAAACAGTGATGCAGCATTCTGATTGTTTGTTTTTTGGAAGATAGTTGAATAAACACATTTGTATTCACAAATACCATCATCGTATCAAAGGAACCACTTCAATTAATCGCGGTCATTAGCAAATTACATCGAGACAGCTGTTAAGAACGACTAAAGCCGATAAATACACAGCCAGCTCTTTCTATATTTTCGTGTGCGAATATATAGTATGGAATTAAAAATTGATCAATATGATGACATTGAACTGCTACCACAGAAAATGCATAAGGAATAGCACTCCATATTCGCGTTTTTATAATCATTATATGATAGTTCTGGTGCCCACAAAAAAATTATGATTTCTATCGCTATCAGTAATAGAATCTTCATAATTAAATCCTTTCAAATCTTCAGCTTGTGTAACGACTTTTGCAACGTACGGTGCAAGAAATCTAAAAACCACAATCAAACAAGTAGCATATTGAAATCAAATACAACACTATTTCCTAAATTATTAACATCAATAAAATGAAGTCGATAATTTAAGAAATATTATCGGGCAGAAAATTTAAAATTCGCCATCTCTCCGGAGTTAACGACTTCAATAAAGTATTTATGTACACACTTTATCTAATAACGATAATCTGAAAATATAGTACGTATTTGATTTTAATATATATGTTACTTGTTTATAAGGAGTGACCTTATTTGTTAGGAAATACTGTTTTTAGTTTTTCATTTTATAATTTATCTTTGTAAGGAAATTGCGATTTTTAGATTTCTTACACCAGATTTCCAGATTTGAAATTCATTTCCTGCAAGATGCTTATCCTGAGGTGCTATCGCTAAATACAAAAAGCACGCATCAAAAGATGGAAAACCCAGTTTAAATACAAAAACACGCACCGAAAGATGGAAAACCCAGCGGTAACACGTTTCAGGCAATACTTACGTATTAAAACTGTTCAACCTAAACCAGATTACGAGTCCTGTACCCAATTCTTATTAGAACAAGCAAAAGAGATAGGATTGAAATCTAATGTTTTTGAGGTAGCGCTAAAAGGATCTTGAATCACATTTTTTTTTCGGCATATAATTTTAACGCACGTTCTGTTCTTTGTGAAAGTATGTAAAAGGAAAACCAATAGTATTGTTGACATGGGAAGGTCGTTATCCGAACCTACCTTCGATACTTTTAAATTCCCATACAGACGTTGTTCCCGTTTTTGAGGTATAAATGAGGTATAAAATTAATATTTATCGATTATTTGTATTCTAAATAATAGTTTTACAATTATATTAGGAAAAATGGAGTTGTAAACCATTTGAAGCGTGTAAGCTTGATAATGGAGACATTGTAGCTAGAGGTGCTCAAGATATGAAATGTGTTGGTGCAAGCTATCTTGAAGCTATTAGATATCTCAAGGATCAGGATCAACAACCATGTCGAACAATTCACCTTTCATATGTTCCTGGTATAGTTCGCTAAAAAATATATCTCGATATAGATCAAACAATCTTTCGTATTTAATTAAATTTATCCAAAACAGATGAAGAAATTGGGGGAGAGGATGGAATGGGATGTTTTATTAAATCAAATGATTTTAAAAAATTAAATGTTGGATTTGCTTTAGACGAAGGAATTGCAAATCCAAATGATGCATTGAGAGTTTTTTATGGAGAACGAACAATTTGGTGGATTAATGTTACAACAAGAGGGAACACAGGACATGGATCACAATTCATAAAAGATACCGCTATTTCAAAACTGGTTTGTTGATAGATATATATATATAGTTTTTCTATGAGGATTTACTATATCCATTAATGTTTAGAAATTTTATAGAATCGCATTATCAGCAGGTTTATGGAATTTCGCGCGTCTCAGGAACAACAAATGGCGATTGGTATAAATACAGATGGAACAAAATATCAAATTGGAGATGTGACTACTGTTAATCTTACAATGTTAAAAGTAAGAAAACTTTATCTGGCCATTACACCTATTCAAAGAAAAAAGATTTTAGAACGTTCTCTAAATAAAATTACTTATTAGGCTGGTGTTCAACATAATGTTGTTCCAGAGGAAGCTACAGCCGGTTTTGATATTAGGATCACTCCAAAAGTTAATCTCGAATCATTTAAAAATATGATGGAAGAATTTGTAAATTCTGAGCCCGAGTAAAGTTTAATTATATTTCAATGCATCTATTTTTTTAAAAAGTTTATCTCTGACTCCATGTTATCAATTTTAATAGTTCTACAATAGAGTTTGTGCAATATAATGGAGCTATAAGCCCTACACCGTTAGATGAAAATAATATTTGGTGGGTCGTATTTCGTGACTTCTGTAAAGGACGGTAAGTTACTAATTTCTCAATTCATAGATCTATTACATAAATCAATCGTATTAATCTATTCCACATTACAGTAATATTCCTATTCAACCAGAAATTTTTCCGGCTGCTACCGACTCGCGTTATCTACGTGGCATCGGAATTCCGGCATTAGGTGTTTCCTACATCAGAAATACTCCAATTTTGCTACACGATCATGACGAACGTATAAATGAGAACTTGTTTCTTGAAGGTATCGAATTCTATAAAGATTTAATTAACCACTTGGCAAATATCCAGGAGTCTTAAATATGCTTACAAATGCAGTAAACAATGAGTTTTTTTTTTCTTTTTTTTTTTTTATAAAAAAATGTTTGTGTATATAACAAGTGAATATATAAAACATCGTTCACACTACTCATAAATTCAATGCCTAAATTTATCTTCAAAAACTAAATAAAAAGTCCTTTTTTTTGTTACTTTTTTTACTTGCGGTTATGTAAATGGTGTAAAAAATGTACAAAGGAGGAAGTGTACGTCCTCCGATTTCAAAAATTTTTAAAAATTAATGAATGGTTTGGAAAGGTGTAAAAAAATGTACACAATGTATAATTACTTTTAATACTATAACAGGCGGCTGAATTAAACTCTAAAACGAAGTAAATATTCACGATAAATGTTCAACCATATTAAATACTTTATTATGTATATATATATATTATCGAGAAATCCCTTCAAAAAATATTCACAGATTATTTTTTTAATGACCCAAGTCCCTGTTTATATATATATATATAGATATATTATTATTCAAAATGCAAAAACTTAGAAATTAAAGAGAATATAAAGAGTTTAAATACTTACAAGATCTTCAAGAAATTTATTTATATCGGTAATAGACTTTTTAGGGAATATCGATTTAAAATCCAACCCACTTTCTTTCACCTTCCGTGCAATCACCTGTTCGCTCTAAAAATAGCGCATAAGTAAAATCATAGACCATAAATTGTCATCATATTATAGAATGCATACTTACAGTGTCAGCCTTTAATGCCGTTAAATATCCAGTCATTACTTTCTCTAGGCCTTTATCATCAATTTCTGATAGAGGTTTAAGCAACTCTGATACATCTTTAATATCAAGCCGTGCACCATTAAACAATTGTCCAGTGAATGTGTAAGATTTGGGTGCATCAGCACCAATATCTATCAGAAATTCTACAGTAGCAGTAAAACCTTCCGTAAAGACTGATTTATCCACAATATTCTCGATTATGAATTTGTCAAATAATCTTATGACTTTATCAACATCATCTTGCTTCTTTTCAAGTGCTTTGTTTGCAAATATCTCAATCGCCTTAGAGTAAAATTCTTTGGGCAGTTCCTTAATACATAATATTACCTCCTAAAAAGAATAATAAAGAAATAAATTTATCTGCGTTAAGCCAAAATATTTTATAATATTCGTACTTACGTTTATATCTCCTATATTAAAGTATTCTTCAACTGTACTATTGATCTTTCTCTCTGCAACTTCTTCAGACATTGATATTGAAGTTGCAGAAGACTTGGTCATTATTGATTTAGGTGCAGGAGGAGTTTCTGATGATAATGGTAATGACGTGGATCTTGGTGCTAGAATAATTTTTTTTCGTTCAGGAGGGGGAGGGGATGCGAAAGACTTCGCCGATTCGTTAGAAGATGAACTATCAACTTTGCGTGTCTCTGTACTTTCAGAATGAGCCAAGATGCCATACGTATTAGACGTTGAATTGGTACGGCTCATACTTTCAGTTTTATCTTTACGCTCCTTGCTTTCAGTTTTCCAACCTTTTGAACCTCCAGCTAAACTAGCGAAAGCAGAACCTCCTGGCGCTAAACTGACGTGGCCAGAAGGTACCTTACTACGAGATACTGAACCAAATTTAGATAGATCTCCGGCTTGCCGCGAAGCCGATGATGTACCTCCGACCATACTCCAGCCATCAGAGCTTACCGACTGTCCACTTGAGCCATGAGACTTACTTATGTCACGGCGACCAGAGCTGCTACGTGATATTTGATCTGCCATTTTAGGCATTCCTTTAAAATATCATGAACAGTGATTAAGTACAAAATAAATGAATTGAATCAATTTGAAACAGAATGTATGTACCTCGTCCACCTGAACTTGCAGCTCGTCTTAAAATTTCTGCCTCTTCTTTTGCCTTGGCAGCCTACAAATGCATTGGTAAATTGTAGCTCATATATATGTTTATTTACTAATCATAACATATTACTTACATCTTCATGAATTTCAGCTATAGTCTTAGGTGCGTTGTTATCGCGTCGCGGCACCCAGTTATTATTTCGAAGATCAATAACATCCTATCATAAGATTTAATATATCAGCTTAAATAAGAATAACATAAATCAATAAATGAACGAAAATAAATAAAACATACCATAATCATAAATCTAATACGGCTGGACAGCTTCATATTTCTGGACATATCTTCCATACGAAGGAAGTAGGCATCCATGTGTGTTTTCGCCTTCGCATGGTCAAGTTGTTGCCCAACTGTCGTCATGAGTTTACACAAGCTTTCCATTTCCTCCTCTTCAGGAACTCCATGAACAGTTAACAACTTTTTAATACACTCGTGCATGATGCGCTCAGTAAGCATATTCAACTTAAATAGTTCACCAATAAAGCGTATTAAACCAAGGCCGTGTCTTTTTGCTTTAGCCGCAGTATAGTATTCATCTGACATAAGGTCAGGC